TGTGTGTGTGTGTGTGTGTGTGCGTGTGTGTGTGCGTGCCTGAGAATGCGCGCGTGTATGAACGCGTATGGATGACGTAGGACTACATGTAGGCCTATTATACCAAAGCGTGGGAATTATTTTTGCGACAGGTGGATATGATAACAACACTAGGCTAACTCAAAGAAACCCACAGGTCTTGAGAACTTGAAATGAAATACATTGTAGTGTGAAATAATCTCAGAATGATTGGCTGACGCTATAATAAGACTGGCACATAGGCCTCCTAGTGCTTTGAGGGGTTACATTACTATTAGTTTAGTATACCTATACACTGTAACTGTACAAAACTGTCAACACAGGCACAATGTTCTACGTTTCCTTTTAAGCCAACTGAAACATTCGGAATTATTAATATTATAAGACACAAACACGCTTGGCTATTTCTGTACTATTTCTAAACTTTTCGTGTGAAAGAAAGCCCCGAACAAACTCACGCGTGTTTTTATTTGACAGTTTGTGTTTATACGTCTTCGTGTACCATGTTGATATGTCTACGTGTCTCTGTGAAAAGACTCATGGGCTCTGTACTCCGCTCGCATAAAAGTACAAGGGCGAGGAATGCTGTGAAGATAGGAACGCCTTTTCCACGACTGTGCGCACGCACACAGTCGCAGTTCGGTCTCAGTTCCACCAGGTCGCGTTATCGTGTCTTTTATGCGACCATAATATGAATAGGCGCCCTGTCACAGGGAAATTGACGGTGGTGTTCTTACCGGGGCTCTGACAAGCCCAACGACACCGCCCCGCCCCTCTCCGCTCTCGCCTTATAATATTAGCACTTTTCTCCACGACCGGTAGTATAGATCTACAGTCAGTTTTATTTTAGTCACTCTCTCCACGTTCAAAGGTGAAAGAAGAAATAACGGATTCTATTAACATATTAATAGGCGTATTGACTCTGGGATAAATCATTCTAATCCATAAATTGTGAGTTTGTACTTCATTGGAATATACTACACCTGCCTCTGCGGTAGGTTGCAGCGATACTCAATCAGTACTGAGCTTTGAAGAGTGACAGGACATTCAATATATTTCCAGTTTGCAAGGACTGTGCTGAGCGGAAA